TTATTCACTAACATCCCATTTGATGAAACAATTAAAATAATTAGTTAACCCGTTATTCCCTACCAAAAATGCTCTGCACTCTAACTTTAACCAACAAAAATTTGAACAGCTTCAAGGACAATCACTTTGTTTTAAATGGTCATCTTTATGACCAGATAGACGGAGTGGCAAAGTTGACCCTTACAAATATTTTTCTATGTTATTATGAATGTCAATGGCTGGATAATTCCAACTTAAAACGTTTTGAAATATTTAGATATAGTTTACTCAACTTATAACACATTATAACTTATTTTAATGTTTTCACTAATCAAAGTAATCATATCCTCATTAGTATCTGTACAAAATGTTACAGTAACATCTTCAGCAAAAATTTCAATTTTTCTATGAAATTTTAGCTTACAAAAATCATTTATAAATATACCAACACTTTAAAACAACTTGCTTTCAAACATAACTAGTATAGTAAGATCTTAGGGTATATTTTAATAATTTTATGCTTCAAAATTGTTTTAGTTTAAATGTTTTCAGCTTTCTTAAATTACTGAAAAAGATCATCTTTATGCTGTAGAGTATTTTATTTAGCTGTCACTAGCTTTAATAGCAAAATCAAAATATTGTAAAAATATTTAGTTTTAACACCAGTGGTACATGAGTCGTCATATAAAGATGCTTTAAAAGTATTTATCTTTGGTAGTTTGTAGTTAAGCACAAAGCTACACAAAGGGCTATCTGTGCTCTGCCCACCACGGGTATCAAAACCCGGATTCTAGCGTTGCAAGTCCACAGACATACCGCTGGGCCACTGGGGGGCGGTTTATCTTTGGAAAAAATAACAATGCAGCAGTCATTACCATTACAGGCCAATAGAATATTTAACTGACTAAATGTTGTTGTTTTAACAGAAGTAAATTTCTTTATGACACTCTTAGATTTGTTTGTTTGAAGTTAAGACATACCGCTGTACCACTGGAGGGTCACACTTAGATAATTAGTTTGAGTCTAAACTTAAGAAATTCAACAGCGATTCCATTGCAAGATGCAGGGCTTGGAATTATTGTTTGCATTTTTCTGATTATCTGTTGTAGAAATTCATCGCAGTCAAGCAAGTGAACATCTAAATTATAATAAACTGCCAAAATTTACGTAGAGGGAAACATTTAACCAACAACGGACGATTGAAGACTTTTCGATTCTGGGGCTTATTTCCCCGAAACGGGGTCGAAGGCTTCCTGGAGGGGTCACCTGCTTTAACCACTACATAGTAGTGTGTTGTATGTCAGTCAGCCAATATACACTAAAATGACGTTACATAAGGGACGCTTAATGTTAAATTTGTAGTCGTGACGTCAGTAAAACGTGCGCATGCCATGAATCACGAGAAGAATTATGCACTCCATAGGCTACAACACGGCATGACATATGAAATTCAAAAGCAAAAAATTAAAATATTTGTTGCTCTTAATTTTGGTTATATTTTCTCTTGAAACAGAATACTTTCGGGGACCCTGCGCAAGTACATCTAGTAAATACTATAAAATAAATGAATTTATAATCTACGACACATACAACAATCTGATATTTTTTAATATAATTTTTATCCATAATCTTTTCAGTTTTAGTCAGAATCTTAATCTGATTTTCTATAATATAGTATTTTTTCTTTATTCCTTTCATCTTTTATGACTTATAATATTTATATTAAACACAGAAAAATTTTATAATATTCAAAATACTGCGCAGACAATTTTTTTAATCTGCGCTTGCGCTATTGTTCTAAGGTGTACGATCCGCAAAGTTTTAGCTACAAACGTCATCTTTACTTCCGAAATTAAAAAATCAACAAAATTTAGTGATTTCATAACATAGTTTTTTTATTTCGTTATCTTTGTCGCTTATGTAGTTTACTATATTTTTCTATTTATGAATTCAAAATCGCCAACATACCTTGTACTTGTTGGAATTGTTTAGTGACGTTGTCCACCAAGACTGTTCATACGACTGCGTGTACAGGTACTACAAAACTTGTTATTTCACTTCCCCAACCCCCTTACTCTCAACTGGGTAATCTCGCGGCCTGTATTTCTGGAACCGGCTTCAACCAAATTATTTAGTCACTCAACCAATCGCACTATTCGTACAAAATCTTGCATTTCATTTCATGTAGCCACGAGCCAAAAAATTTACGTAATTAAAGTATTTATTGGCCAAAATCAGAATTTATATTTATCTTCTTGTCAGACTCAAGACATTTGTTTATGGCAAATCAATTATTAGCAAGTTTACGTTAAGAAAACGGCCATGTCAGTTTCTCTTTAAATTACTGTTTCATGTCCACTTACATTTGACCGGACGTAACCCAGTCAGCTGGTCAGGCTATGGTCCAATAGGTCTATGATCTCAGCAGCATTCCGCGCCCTTTCGGCTCAGGAGAGAGTAACTTTTACGGCCAATTCTCCTATTTTATATTTCTATTTTTAGCCCTTAATCATTGTATACTGTAAAATTGCTAGCTTTAAGCTGCCCAGTAGAATTTTTGTTGGTTAAAGTTAGAGTGCAGAGCATTTTTGGTAGGGAATAACGGGTTAACTAATTATTTTAATTGTTTCATCAAGTGGGATGTTAGTGAATAATGGCTGAATATCAAAACTGGCCATAACGAACTGGTCTGCATTAGGAAAGTAAAATATCTATTGAGCAAAGGAAAAAGAATTTTAACAATAAATTCGTTCTTGAGCTTAATGCAGGTACAAGATATTTAGCAAGTTTGTATGCGTGGGAACCAAGACTAGACTAGAATACGTTTGAATGTTAAACCATTCTTGTGTACTTTCGGTAATCATACATAAAACCAGGGCGGGAACTTGTACGATAAAGTTCTGTAAAAGTGATGTCAGGATTGAGTTTATAATTTTTAAAATATCTTAAAGTTCGTCGAAGCTTTTCCTCACGTTTGAGAGTAAGTTTAAGCCAATCATTATCGAGGGGTTTAAACTTTGTTCTGTCATTTAAACCATCTTCCAGTTTGGAGACATAATCAGATCTGTGTATCTTCATCTGGCCGGATAACAACAACGTTTCCGTTACTGTCGTGTTTTTTTGAGGCAGAAAAACTCAACCTGTGTAACAGAAGAAGGGCTTTTAAGAGATTGAAGTTATAGAAGGAGGACAATGCCGCATTTCTAAATTTAGTTTTGATAAGGCATTCTATATTTGATGTGTTATTTCTGTTAAAATTAGGAAACGGTTTCAGAGCTCTGTAAATACATTCAAATGGGAAAAAAGTAGCTTGAGAAACTTAGTTTACGGGTAACTAGACAAAAATTTAAACCTTTTGACATTGTTCACTTAAGGTAAGATCACTAAAATAACATTATCAGGACTTATGTTACTAGATTTTCTTGCTTGAATAACCTTGACATTCTGGTTGTGTTCAAGTCTAACGATGTTTTAAGTTAAAGGGCGAAGAAACTGAAAAAAAGGTGTTGATATTATTACGACAGCGGAAGTCACGCAACGCTGGGAGCATGCGCGTTGGAGTGTCTAGAAGGATATGACTTACCGAGGAACTCCGCGAATATCCGAGTGTTTGCCAGGCGCCCTCTTTTTTAGTATATAAGCCCGGCAAATAAAGCCAGTGATAGATAGATATGTAGATAGATTAAAGATAGAGATAATTGAGTCAACGAACATTAGGCGCCATAAGTAAAGTGTGTGAATCACTGTGATTTATAGCGTGTGTTTATAAAGGTGGTTAAGTTTAAAGTGACTGTGGAAATTTTGTGTATTACAAAGTTGTATCATTTTACATAGTAAACTGAAAGAACCGAATAAAAATATACATTTCTCAGCATTTCATATTGTTACGTATCTGCTCGTTTGTTAATTTCCAGTATAAATTCTTTCCGAGGAACTTTAGCGATACAAGTCCTTTCTTAATTAAAACTACTTTATTTTTTCTTGATATATTAACTTCTGTACATCTTTATGAATATTATTATACTTTTATATTTATTTAACCTTACTTAACATGATATCTGTATTGGTAAAGTTATTATGGAGCTAAATAATTAGAATGTATATATACGTCGTTATCAGTTGCAATAGTATATTATATTTTATAAGTTAAATTTATAAACTTTTTTTACACGACCACTGATGTATGCATAGTATTATAATAAGTCCCGCTCCCACCCCAACCATCCTACACTTGTGTTTCTACAACAGGCAGTTGCCGTCCATTCAACTAAGTTTCATCATGAATATTCTGCCTAAACAACCTATCAAAGAATAATAATAAAAAACTTGTGTACTGTACTCGTGCGTCCCAAATAAATTGAAACTTCTTTATTCTCGAAGAAAAAACTCGGTATAAATAAACCTTCACAACAAATTAACCTTGAAACTTTAGTACCAAAACGATCAAATATTTATCATTACACACGAAGTACACAAAATTTTACATTGTTTAGTATATCCTAAAAGCACACTTGTACAGGATATCAAATTAACGTGTCGTTCAAATATTGCTAATATAATTACATCAGCAACAAAGCTGATATGCCCAACCATCTGTAATGTGCATCATCACTACTTAAATACCCTAACTACCATACATTACCAACTCTGATATCCAACCCTCTGTGGACAATATACGTTACCAACTGACACTGCTTACCTTATGTACACAATATACAATATCAACTAATACAATTTAACTTCTGTGAACAATATACGTTACCAACTGACACTGCTTACCTTATGTACACAATATACAATATCAACTGATACAATTTAACTTCTGTGAACAATATACGTTACCAACTGACACTGCTTACCTTATGTACACAATATACAGTATCAACTAATACAGTTTAACTTCTATGAACAATATACAGTATCAACTAATACAGTCTACCTTCTGTGATAAGGTGATACCTTATCTCCTGACATAATCTACTTTCTGTGACACAGAGTGACTAGGTACGTTTAGCTTTATTGATAACACAGACCTACGATGGTTTTATTGTCTTGAAAATTTTACATGTACTACAGTAATTATTGTACGCTGAATCCGAAAATGATATCTATTTTCCTCCATCACCTACAGATTTTTCACAAAATGTCACATGTAATTTTTACATAAGTGAATCATTTTCATTGAAATCGGGTCACACTTTGTTTTGCTTAAAATGTTCACAGCCACTGGCTATAGATTTCTCTAGATCAATCGCGACGTGAGAGTATTATGGATCGTTCTAGAACCCAAACATAATAAAAAATGTTCATTGTGGTAAACGAAATAATAATTTGAACTAAGTAAGATTTTGTTTTTTACTTCCCGATTTGTAAAAAATTCTTACATGATAGAAAAAATTAATATTATTTTCGAAGTCTGCGTAGATGAATTATAGAAGGTACGTTATTAAAACCAAAACAACTTTTATAAAGTTTAAATTTGTAGTAATTATCAATGGAGTAGTGGTCGTGATATTAAGTTTAATGTCCGAGTTGCCAGTGAATCAAAACACTACTTTCATAAATGATACAGTTTGTTTTTTATTGTATCAGATATCTATATTCTATGGTTACAGTTGTTTATCTCGTTTACAAAGTTTCTGTTGTCTGTTATATGTTTGCTGTTCAATTATTGTTAGATATGTAAGACGAGGCATGTTTATTTTGTAAACTTTCGTGGCTTTTAATTTAATCTTTATTTAAGCAGTGTAATATATATATATATATATATATGTATGTATGTATATTAGTGATATTTTGTAAATTCGTATGATAGTTTTGTATAGTAATAAAAGTCTGTCATTCTTTGAAGATATTATTGTGGCTGTTTGTTTATTTTTGTGATTTTCTTTTTTAAACACATTTTGGTTGTTCCTATATAACCGAGTGTTGGAGGAAAAAGGACCACAGGTAATTCTTAATGTTCACCCCTATCGTGTTCCCAGGAAAACCAGATGGTCCCCCTACCTATCCACCAAGTTCAACTGTCTTCAAGAAAAAGCCTGTGAACTTAAAACCATGGATGTGTTGCCATTTGGAGAAATCCATCCCTAATCATCTCATTTTATGGTAACCTTCTATATAATGATTAATATACAATCACAGTGTCAGTTCTCTCAGCATAACTACATATCATAGCGTCAGCGTCTAATCTGGCCACACTTTAGAGTATCAGTTCTCTAAGCCTAAGCACACTTTACAGTATCATTTCTCTAAACCTAACCACACTTTACAGTATCAGTTCTCTAAGCCTAACCGCACTTTATAGTATCAATTGTATATGTCTAGCTATAAATAATAGTATCAGTAGCATACGTAAGTTTATGTTCTAAAGATCAAATCAAGTCATCACAGTATTAGTAACTACAATTTACAATATATCTAGACATCGAGTTTCAAACTAGAATTATGGTTAATCTCAAACAACGTCTACAGTTCATATTTTTTTCCTGTTTCAAGTCAACTAAGGTACCCCACTACTTGCGGACAGAAGAATCCTTGTGTATTCACTTGCTTCCATAATTCGTGCAGTTCCTGGAGTTGTAGTTCTTGAGAAGTTACCCTTCCATCACTGAAAGCACAGCTCCCTTGCTGAAGGTGGATAGAAGGTTTTAGGGTGAAACTCGGATGGTCGTACATCTCCACCCGAGCCTTGTAACGACAGAATCCTGTGATGTAGACATCTTCTATGAAAAACACTGGAGTTGAAAGTGCAGCTTTGTAGAGCTCTTCGGCTACAGATATAGAGAAAACGTATCCTAGTCCAGCACAATATGGTGGAAAGTACTGGCCCGGAAGTTCCTGTTCAGTAACCATATACTTGATATAGTGGGGAGGGGCGGTATCGAGGAAGTCTTTTCGAAGAATGCGACGAACACGGTTGAAATGGCATATTAAAGTTCGTCCTTTGGTGGAATAAAAGTTGTGTAAAATTTTCAGTAAGTTTGGAATATGCACAAAAATGTCTTCATCAGTCTTCATAACAAAGTCTGCATTGTTACAAAAACTGACAGACCATTTAAGTCCCATGACAGACTTCAACGCTAGATGCTTAAAGGTGTCAGGAAAGTCTTCTTGAACTATATCTCCGTACCTGACATTTTCTTCCTCTAGATGGCGCTGTACATCTGTACTTGGAGTAACTCCAACTATGAACACAATGCGGAAATTGAGTGCTTCCTGTAAAGCCCATACTCCCCAAGTATCTCGAATCATCTGTCTTTGTTTGATGTTCTTAACTGCAGACGCTATAAACAAAAGAAGCTTTAATCGTGTCCGGTCAAAAGATTCACAACGGGACGTGGGGTTAATGAGATACGTGTAGTTGTGAGGTGTATGCACGTGACCCACATGTACTGTGACGTTTCCGTTTAACACCACCCAACCACTTTCACCTCTAGGCTGTTTCAAACTTGAAGGTGGGTAGATTAGCACTCCTTTCTTAGCAATATTGTTCTTTAAATCATTAAACATACGATCTACAGGGAAATCTTTTTTGACGTGAGAATTTATTGAAGATGAGGAAGAATGAAGGTAAAGAAGAAGATGAATAGTTAAAACAAAGGACAGTAAGAGAACTACCAAATGCTTGAAGTTCGTTAATCTTAGTCGAGGTCTCATTGTTTTACATCGATGTGTCACATTCTTCCAAAGGTCATATCAGATAGTGGATTTCTGGCATCCTTGTCACCTTGAACAAGTGGTGTTTAATAATTCCTGTTCGAAAAAACAAAACAAAATAAAAACTGATGAAACTTAGTTGAATGGATGGCAACTGCTTGTTGTAGAAACACAAATGTAGAGGACGATGTTTCTTAAGGCGGAAGACTTTCGAAACGTCGTCCACTTTCAAAAACTGGTGTGTACATCTTGACTTGATCACAATTGTAATAAACACAGGAAATAAAAACATGTTCATGTAAGTTAATAAACAGTTTTCCTTGGTTTGAATTCATAATTGTTTAATTTTCCTTCTGTATCAGAATATTCATGGACGTTTAGTTGAACAAACACAATATTTCGGTTGTAATGTATACCACCACAATAAATACACTGACCAATCACTCACATTTGTCATGCTAGTGGAACTTTATTTTGGAGAAGTTAACACTTTTAATGATCTACACTTGGAACAAAAATCAAATACTTTGTGACCATTTCTGCAAGTAGAGAAATACACTGAAACATTACATTATCAAAAATAAATTGATGCCAAAATATAGGGAAAATAAGCATGGTAATACACTATTTACCAGCTTCATTAGAAGAATGTCTTCAAAACCAAAACTAAACTGTAACACAAAAAATTAATGAAACATCGAAACATGTAGAGTGTATGAAACTGTTTTCCAGTTTCATTGGGTTTTCATTATTCTTTAACCTGTATAGTACGCTATTTGTATTTTATTGTAATTTTGAGACTGGAAACAGTCTCATTTTTATAATTGTATAAAAAATAATCGTTTTTAACCTAATATTTAAGAAAATGACGGACTTAAATATCACATATTATACCCAATCTCTTCCCTAATGCACATTGGCAAGAAGTACAAATGGAAAACATTAGCAAATTTCAAAGTGAATTAAATACATTAAAGGATGATTTACTGTGTTTTACACGAGGAAGATATATTAGCCATCGACCTAATCAGCCTCAGATAATGGGAAGCCCCTTCCAGACCCCGCAGCTAAACCCTAATGCAGACATCTTCAGTCCTGTTAGAAGTCACATCCCAGATATGAATGTCAGCAATAGGGTGATCTAGTATGAAGGAAGCCACAGGAATTCGATGGGAAGGCACCGTGGGAAGGATATAGAGCACATTTTGAGCTCCTGGCAGAAATGAATGGATGGACAGAGGAGCAGAAAGCAGTGTACCTGGCAACAAGCCTGAAGGGACAACCACTGGAAATACTTGGACAATTGTAAGCAGACGACAGGCACAACTATAGAGCACTGGTAGCAGCTCTAAAACTCGGGTATGGAACCCAAAATCAATCAGGGTTGGTTTAGGACTAGAGTCCATGCTAAAGGGGAAAGCCTGCAAGAGCTGGCACAAGACTTGGAAAGTATGGCACACAAGGCCTACCCAGCTGCACCACCCGAGCTTCTTAAGTTGTTGCTGAGGAATCAGTTTGTAGACGCCTTGGACAGTGCACAAATGAAGATACAAGTAAAGCAAGCACACCCCTCTACTATGAAGGATGTAATGGCCAGAGCTCTAGTTTCCTTTCTTGCTTTTTTTCTCGTTCATCTTGTTTCTTTTGCTGTTCTTGTATTGCTGCCATCAAATCTGCTAAGCTGTAGTTTGATTTGCCACTTTTCGTTTCCATCTATTTTTCCATCCCAATCTCTGACACCAATTTGTTACATGTATGATCATTTGTTAATTACACGTAAAAATTCTTTCTGAAGAACTTCAGCGATACAAGTCCTTTCTTAAATAAAAGTAGTTTATTCTTTCTCAATTCAACTTTGCAATACAGTTCATTTCCACAGTTACTTTAACGTAAACACACGCTATAATTCACAACGAATGATTCATGCATTTTATTTACTACCGCTCTTGACTCAGTTGCCTGTCTGTAATTCTCATCCCAATTCATTGTCAGGCGCACTTATATAGAAGAATAGAGGGCGCCTAGCAAATAATGGATTATTCGTGATGTTCCCCGATCTTTCTAGAACTCGTTACGTGTTACCAGAGTCACGTGACCTCGGCTGTCGTAACAGTATTTTAATATTTTGTTCAGTCAAAGAATGGAAACGAGAAGTGGCAAATCAAACTACATCTTAGCAGATTTGATAGCAGCAATACAAGAACAGCAAAAGAAACAAGAAGAGAGATTACAGCAGTTGTTGGAGGAAAAAGAAAAGAAACAAGAAGAGAGATTACAGCAGTTGTTGGAGGAAAAGAAAAGAAACAAAAAAGAGAAATTACACCAGTTGTTGGAAAAAAAAGAAAAGAAACAAGAAGAGAGACAACAGCAGTGGCAATAAAACCTGCAACAGTGGCAGCTCGAACAGCAAAATAAACAAGAGGGACTGCAGCAGTGGTTGGAGGAAAAAGAAAATAAACAAGAAAAGAAGTTACAGCAGTGGCAACTGGAACAAGAAAGGAAACAAGAAGAAAGTCTCCAACAGTGTTTTTCTTTTTCGTCCTACTCTCTGACACCAATTTGTTACGTCTCTGTTCGTTTGTTAATTTTCCGTAGAAATTCTTTCCGAAAACTTCAGCAATACAAGTCCTTCCTTAAATAAAACTAGTTTATTCTTTCGCAATACAACTTTGCAATACACTTAATTTCCACAGTCACACTATAACTTAAACAAACGCTATAATTCACAACGAATGATTCACGTGCTTGACTCAATTGCCCGTCTCTATCTCTGTCTGCAATTCAATTCCAATGTTGCCATCACCTCTTGGCGGTCTTATATACAAGAATACCTCACATCCAGTAAACACTCGAGCATTCATGAACATTCGAGAATATCATGATGTGTTACTAGCGTCACGTGACTTCCGCTGTCGTAACAATACTATAAAACGTCAACCATATTTCATCAGCTATATCCATAGTCGACGAGGCCTTTCACTAATAAATGCCAGGGTCTCGTCAAGCATACTGGGATACGAAAGACATAGTAGCAGTGTAACAATGTTATGATGTGAACCAGATTAGGCGAGTAAATTATCATTTTTATTTAAGTCGTTTACAAATCAGATTTTTTATTAATAGCCCGATTATGTAAAGGGGCTGCTGAAATACTAATTGTTCTGAAAAATAGAAAATTTTGAACAATCTATTTTTCAAAAAACAAATCAGACTGATCCTTCTTTTAATTGAAGTTTCTAACATGCACTTTACAGAAAAAAAAAGTGCTTAAAATTATTATTTAGCCTAGTTTTTACGACGCAATGGACATTAGAGATATAAACAGCATTTTTCTTAGCTTTTGTAACATATAAATATTTGAAACCATATATGAAAATTAAGACTAGTTCAGCTACAGGAGGAGACTACAGATACCATATCATTTTGTTTAAAAAATATAATATGGAAAATTAAAAATAATAAAGAATGTTCAGATATTTCTTGTCTAGGAATTTCTTCGAAAACTATAAATTAGTCAAATGAATAACTTCCTTTTGGAAAACACGCAAAAAAAATAATTTTTTTTTGTCAGAGACTATGATATTTTCTAAGTTATTTCCTCGACAGATCCATAACATCAGACACACATAAAAGTATGATATATTATAACAACAAAATTGTTTATCGCCTGGAAAATTAGGCAAACACCCATTAAACGTGAATTGCTCAAGTGAATGTAATTGTCATTCAAAATTCCTTAAAGTTGTCAATCACAGTTAAAAAATGAACAATTTTCGGTAAACTTTAATTTTCCAAAAATGATAAACCCACAGTTTGCTAAAAACTAGAAGTTTCTAGCATCATTTTTAAAGTTTTTTTGTCTGCAGGTTTCAGCCTTTTTGTCCTTTTTTGTTGCAGTAAAAGACCCACTAAGCCTTTGGTATACGTCTTATCGGATTTTAAACAGTTGTCTAACTAATCCTTTGTGCTATTCTAGACCACCATCAGAGGGAATTAATGTTTTTACCCTATTTTGCTTGATTATCTCATAATTTCTGGATAGTACGTTTTGTTGTTAATCTGCGACTTTTACTGATTTTGAATCCATTACCAATCAAACAGCTTCCTTTACAGATGTACACCAACTTTGCTCTAATTTTCACTTCGTCATCCACTGAGGCATCTGTGAATTAGTTACATAACAACGAATCCTCCAAAATTTCACATGCATTTTCTGGATAAGCTAACTGGGCAAGTATTTCCACATATTAAGCGAATTCGGCTCCTCAGCTTTGATTTAAAAACTTATTTGTGATGTTACCCTCCAAAACAACTTGATAAGGCAGCCACCAATGTCTCATAGTTGTTATGGTTTTCTGTTGGTTGATTGTTTAATGTCGTTAAATACGTTGTTTTTTTTTAAATGAGCAGCAAAATTGAATAGCTTGCTGTTCACTACTCCATCCATTCATTTTAAAAATTATTTTCATATATGCTTGCCTTCCGTGTAATTTTCTGTCGTGGGCTTGTGGTTTTTGTTTGTTGAACTGACATACTATACTTATTAACTTGAAGAAATAGTGGTTTAGTTGGAGTAACCCAGGAAGGTTCTAGAGCGATAGATGACACAGTACTAGTGTTAACGGGTATAGATTAGATGGGTTCTCCTATTCCATATTGAATATTTATTGTGCTTGAGTTTTTGAGCGAATGCATAGAGAGAAATGTGACTGATTTTGTCTCTGAATCTGCCATTTGAGTTTCTAAATGCTTAGTTTTGGCATTTTTAATGTCCCTTTTTTATTTCATTGGTGTCATTTTGTACCAAGTTTATTTCTTCCTTGATGTTCATTAATATCAGTTTGTATTTCCTTGATCACTGTGTTAATGTACTTTTATACATTTCTCGTGGCTTCTTCTATCTTGTTATAATCCATTTGTTATTACCCATAGCTTTTTACCTTCCGTAAGTACAGTTTCATTCTGATCTTCCATCAAACTGATTTTCGTTCGTAATTTTTCTCTAAAGTTTGCGTATCGTTCGTTCTTGTAATTTCTCTCATAACTTCCTTTTTCTTTCTTCATGGTCTTCTGTCTCATTCATCCAATTTTC